TCTATAGCCAATGAGGCCTCTGTGTGGGCATGGCCTTCCCCTGAGAATTCTGGGAATGCCTGGATTTCCTCCCTGGAGGTGGGAGACACACTCTCTCTGCCCACTCCCTGAGTCTGTCTATTGACAAGACACATGGTGCTACACTGTTAGACCCCCGTGCCCTGGGAACTGGAGAAGCTACCTGGGGACCCCTGCCAGCTCTGAGATGCTCCTATCGCCACTGGATCCACAAGACTTCCCACCCACTGACCTGTGATCTTCCTGCATTCGGCATCATTGCATGTGTTCCGTGAGTCTGAAGAGGAGTTTCTAGATTGGTATTGGACTTATGGACTTGATCTGGAATAGGCTGTTTACTGAATATTCAACTTCTCTTGTATATAAAGCTCTTTCTTATACACATATGAGTGTCTATGAATTTGTTTCTGTAGTCTACTCAGACTAACACACATCTCCATAAATCTAATTTGAAAAGTCACTGCTGAAAGTATTCCACTAACGAAACGTCTACTCATCCCTCCCAGCAAAGAGGTCCCTGTCTGTTCCCCTCCCACCCAGAGGATGTTGCTCTACTCCTTGACCCCAGGCTCCTGGATTTCGACTAAGAAAGCAGACACAGATGAATCCCATGCAGGACCAAGGCCTTTCATGCGTGAGGAGGAAGAACACTAGTGAGGTCCCTCAGGGAGGTCCCCTCTGAAACCTTGGGAGCCCTGTGTTGTCCTGATGCCCAGCACAGGCATGCAGAACCAGCCGCCTCATTGTGCTGGCCGGGCAGGATGGGGCCTTCACCACGAAACGCTTTTGGGGGGAGCTTCAGAGTCCTAACTGCTTCCCAGGGGAGTCTGAATTCCTTAGGTGACCTGAGGACGGAGACACTGGGAGGGGGTCCTTCCCCAGAAGCCCAGGAGAAGGCCCTCACCCCCACAAAGCCAATGGGTGAGAGCTACATAGCCAGGTCTTCCTCAACAGCCATGGCCTGTCTTGGACTGAGCCAAGCTCTGGTCTCCTGCCGGGAGGGTGGCCCCCACCAAAGCCCTGGCCCGCATGAGGGAAGGGCAGTGCAGCACAGGGCACGGGTGCCGGGTCACTTTGATTTCTTTAGTTCCAGGTTCAGAGCTTGAAGCCCATGAGGTTGAGAGTGAGAAGTGGCTCTTGGGAAGAAGCAACAGACATCCATCATGCTCGGGACCCTCCATGCAGGCTCCCTTCTGGAGTGCCCCCAGCCCCCCTTGCCCCCATCTGTCCTCACAGTCCAGTCTTTCTCTTCCTGAAGCCGAGC